TCCAAGTCATTAACCGAGGACAGACGCCCAGAAGACAACCTTGAGTTAAACTATTTTAGCCAGGCCCTCCTGATGTTTGATGAATTCCAAGCATGCAGCTCGCCTGGGTCTCCATCAGCGTCTCAGCAGTCACACACGCTTGATTACAGAGAGGAACACTTGACTGAAATACATGAGGAACACAAAAGTGCATATGATGTCATTGGAACACAGCACATGTATGGAGCTAACAGGCAATAGCTAAGATTTACATACTGTGGGAGAGAATGAGAGAAAAAAAAGGCCAAACACCCAACAGGGACATCTGGTCTTGTGTCAACATCAAATATGGGAAATACACATCATGTTTATTTATAGAGACATTATTTCACAGACTCACAGACATTTACCTTCAGTTTACCTTCACTAAAGTCTCGTCTCTGCACTCTACGCTCCACAATTCTTTTTTTGTTTGTTTGCATCCATTTCTGTAAACAACTAATGAATTGGTTTGCAGTGTGTATGAGAGCTTTTTCTGGTATGTCATACACCTACTGTAGTCACAGTATCAGTGAGTCACTTTCCTTATTATTGCCTGTGTACAAAACAGAATGCTTCCCTGTAAGGTAATATGTTTTGGGTTTTTTTTTCTCCACTTTTTAATGATTCTACTCTGTTTTTTTTTTTCAACAGTACAGATATTAAATTACATAGTATATAATATAGTATATTACCTTGGAAAGATCTATGTGGACTTGTGGACTGAAGAAAGAAATAGGCTGTGGCCCCTGGAGATGTATTGGTGGTGGTGTGGGGCCAGGGGGGATTTGGGTTAAAGTGTTTTTTCCATGGCCTGAGAGTTCAGAATAAATGTGAGGATTTTCTGGATGGAGAGAGTCTGTTCCACTGCCTCCTCATTATAACACAGTGGTCCCAAACCTGTTTTGTACCATGGAGCGGTCGGTCAATATCACCTGTTACTGTTGACCAATAATATCAATAACTGTTGAAGAATCACTAAATTTTCTTTTATTCTGTCAGAGTATCAGAGTCTAAATGACCTGTTGGTTTGAAACATTGCCATTGTCTTGAAAAAAATATAAAAAAATGATTTTGAATCAAGTATATTAATAAACCTGAAGTACATATTTTCATTGTGTCCCACTGCGGCCCAGTACCAAATGACCTACAGACTGGCACCGGTCCCCGGACCAGGGGTTGATAACCGATGATAAAAAAATTAGAATCCACAACAATAAGACACAATGTTTGAGGCTTCCAGTCAGGGGGTGGAAAATAGGAGGGAAGAACATATTCACTCATCTCCTACTGTTCAATCTTTTCAGACAGCAGTCGATCGAGGAGGAGTTTAGTTCAGCGCTCCATCACAGGACCACATACAGAGATGGACAACCAATTACAGTCACATTTATACCTGTGATCAATGAGACAGAAGAATTAACATATCCCTGCATGTCTGGACTACCAGCTGCTCGAAATGTTCTTCATGCTGTAAGGTAAGACCATTGATCCAACTGATCCTGATTCATTATATTCTTCATATATTTGTATCAATGGGCTCCAGACATTTAATTGGTTTTCACTCCTGCTTGAACTTAGCCCATGATCCATTTTTGGGTCACAAGCCAGCGGTTTAAGCCACAGCCACATATTTAACATCGGAAAAATATAACGGCACACCGCCAAACTGAAATGCCATGTGTGTATGATGAAATTTATACCTCCTCCTGTCCATCTAAGGTCAACTGTCACTGTCTGTAGCACAAACAAACAAATTTGTAGTAGTGGTAGTCAACTACCAATAGTTTACAGACCAATTACATACTGTACGTAAGTCATATTTGATTATTATCTCCACTGCACGCCAATGTGCCGCAGCACAGGGGTTGGGAATCACTTGTATATGTTTGTACATCATGATGGAAAACAGGAACTAATGTTGAGATAAAATGCCTCTGTTTGAAAATAGTAGTTCTAACAGCACAACCATGACCAGTAGCAGAATGTAATCAACCTTGAAGTCTGCTTTCTTTACTTAATCATCTTTGCACACACACACACACACACACACACACACACACACACACAAACACTACCACATTTAAAGTTAAAACAGATGGGATTCCCTAGTCTTCACACAGCAGCCCTGCAAGGAGAACAATGACAGCCACTGGGAGCAGGAAAATAAAGCCCAAGTGGCCACAGGGGAGATAAGTACCAAGTTTCTGACAAGGCCATGTTCCACTTTTTCAGCCACAGTGATTTCAGAGTGGAAAATAAACGGTTAGAAGCACCAGTGGCCAGAATATTCTGCCCCACAGCATAATCTCTAAATCTTCATGTGAAATGTCATCATATGACCTAAAACTATTCCAACATTGGAAACATGCCTTTGCCGCCCGTTCAGGCCTGCCGACACTTTCCCTCAGCCATGTAGCATACTCATTAATTTGCTGCCCCTTAGGCTACACTGTTTATGACTATTGATCAAACAGACCTTCCAGTGCTAATTTAGAGCCAATGATACATTTCTGTCGTGAGGGACGCAGGAAGACAATATTGATTAACGTACAGCTTTGCTAAGAGCATGCTGCTGCAGCACTCCACAATGGGGCTCTAATTAATTTCCAAACCTCAGAGAGCACTGCATTCTGCTGTGCTCTCCTGCAGAACCACTAACACCAGAAGATGTGGTGGTTCAGTTCCCAGTGGGGTCGTTGGTTCTGAAAATATATGCAGCGATGTTGCTGGCAGGCAGTTTCATTTCATTTGCCCAAGTAATGACTTACAGTGCAAAGGCAATTAAGGACTAAGACATAATTTAGGAAACATTTTCTTACTCTGCTTACTGCAACAAATCATGCAGCAGTGTGACAATGCAGCGTGAGCAGCAAGGGTGTAATACGTCATGTCACCATGCTGTAAAATGTATGTGATAGCGTTGGTTATGGGAAGGATTTGGCAACAAATAGAAGTGAAGTCAACTCACTGTCACTGTCTTCACATGGAGAACAGCATGGGACTGTGCTCAAGCTATTTCAACACAATAGCTGTTTAGAAATGTAAAAACAGATGAATCCAAAGTTTAGGTGTGGAATCATAAAAGAAAATAAATAATATTTACTGTCAGATCTGGAGCATTTGCCACGTACATACGACATGTTTTTTAATTGTGCTCAGTTCAAATGGAGCAGACAAAGACAGTTGAGTTCTACAAAAGGCTAACGTTTTAGTATTTTGTGGTACTTTGCTGCCACCTAGTGACTCTTTACTGCCATAATCTAGAGACACATAGAAGGAAAAGCTTTTTATTTTAGATAACACATTGCAACCCAATGAAAATATGAAAACATAGCTTGACAAGTATACAACAATGTAAAAAAGAAAAAGTCAACGCCGAAGTGCATTCAGTGTAATCAGTGTGTGTTACCTTGAAATGCTGTGG